ACTCAATTAAAGAGGTGGGTGTATCAGTTGGGAAATGAACTGATAAACGAAAATTTTGACATCTCAATAAAGTCTGAATCTAAAATGAGTATTGATGATGAAGATGATGACAATTAAAAAGGTTACAGATATTGTTTATATTGGATTTTGTAGAGGGGAAAACGCGCTATAAACTGACGATAAAAGAATTAATAGAAGATGGTTCTTGTTTGAAAAAAAATATTTTTTGAGCAAAATTTCAAATTTTTCTCAAGACAGCAGCTATACTCAGCTTTGCTTAACAGCGGCTACTTGAACGTTTCAACTTCCGCCTTGGTCTGAAAGTCTCAGAGGATGTTGCGAACTTTATTTTCAGCTGAAGTCATTTCAGGAAATCTAGAACTACTTAGACTACAAGTATGAAGTTTTTGAACAACGTTTAGTGCCTAAAAATGGTGCGACAAAAAAGTGTGTCACAGCTTTACTTTAGCAAATTGGGTTTTATAAACAAAGTAAAGGGTTCTGAAAAAACTTCTTTTTAGAAAAAGAAAGCTCGTTAGCTGGCTCCTCTATAAACTTTGCTCAAGTCACTTTTTATTAGCTTTTCTAAATTCGCAGGAATTTGCACTTTATTGAGGAACAGTTAGAATTTAGGGACTTTTTATGTCACAGCGTTACCGGTCTAAAAAGGTTTTGTGGAAGCTCGAGTCTTTAACCAAAAATCTTCGTTTTTATACTCAAAGTAGAGTATCAAGAGCAAAAAGGAAATAAGAAAAAAAGGAAAAAACTGAGCAAAAAGGAACTTTCTAGTTCTTATAGATTGATTACATATCACATAAATAAACAAAATCTGCGGCATTGTCCGAATCCTAAGCTTTTCTCGAAAACCAAAAGACCTTTGCTAACATTTCACGCTATTTCAAACATTTTCTTCTATAACCTAGCATAACTAAATCAATTTCAATTTTAGTATACACAACTGAACGAGCTCTTTCTATTGGCTGTATAATTCCGGACTGCTAGTGGACGTTAATATGCGTTTGCGTATTTCACCTAAATTCTTCCGATGGTATTTATCAATGAAATGGTTTGTTTAATTAAACCTTAAAATATTGTGAATTACATGAAAATGCAGAGAAAAACAGTTATCGAGTTTTAGACAAAGCATAAAGACCACGATTGTCAGAGGATAAGAAATACTCATCATAGGGTCATCAGATTGTACATACATATCTCATTGCTTTATTACAAAAATTAGTTAGAATGAAAGAACATGTTATTCAAATGACGATGAGGAATAGCCATAGTATGTTTATTAATGTCACATATCCGTATATGTACATTGTTCCAGAGTTTGTTATTGTTGTCATGCTAGGAATAGTTATAATGCCACCACTTGCAGAAGTACGTGGAGCAGTGGTAGCACCCTGAGTTGTAGGAGGAGTTGTGACAGAACCCTGAGTTGTCGGAAGAGTTGCACGTGGAGTAGTGGTGGAGCCCTGAATTGTCGAAGAAATTGTACCTGGAGCAATGGTGGAACTCTGAGACGGAGGAATTGCACGTGTCGTCGTGGTAGTATTTGGTTGTAAATTCAAAAATGGATCAACGACAATGACTTTACTGAGATTGGAGCGTATTTCATCAAATATTTCAGGACGACTGCAATCATCAGCTCGACAGAATATATCAATTTCCCAAATATTAAATTCTCGAGTATCCAGATAGCAAATGCCATCAATTTCAATTCTATGTGTATCAATGTCAAAATTAGGTGTAGATTCACCTTCGTAACAGAGAGATTGATAACAAAATTCAAGAGGATCTGAATCTGGATGTTCAAATAAATCATTCAATATACAGGTGCCATTACACGCTTTTTCAGGACATCTTGATATATCAAAAAAATCTGTATCACCACACGACGGTCCATCTGGACATTCATGACACATTGTTGGATCTGAACCAAGAACAAAATTATTCAGCCATTCATCAGGTAAAGAGAGTGAAAAGCTCGATGGTAAAAGTGGAACAAGGTCAGGTTTATTGCAATAATTCCAATTGCATCCATAAGTAATAACATCAGGGTCTGTAATCCAATCAGATGACTCTTCGATATATTTAATTGATTCTCGAACAGAAATGTAATAAGGGTTTTTAACATAAAATTTCGTTGAATTTCTAGGAATATGTTCCAATGTAATGTAGATATTTTCTCTAATATGTTCACGAACAATAGTGCAATAACTGTCCTTTCCTTCTTTGAATAACGTTTCATTACACGGACAAGTTGTACTATTAGTACACTCACAATTATAACACCAAATACCATCGGGACGAAGGTTTAAAAGTGCATCGGCACTAATAGTTTTCTGTAGCTTAGATCGAATATCATTAAATAATTCTGGTCGGCTGCAATCGTCCGCACGACAGAATACATCCATTTCCCAAATCTCAAATTCTTGAGTATCCAAATGATAAACACCATCAATCTCAATTCTATGTGTATCAACATCAAAGATTGGTGTTGATATATCGTAGTAACAACCAGATGTATAACAAAAGTCATCAAGATTAACAAATACTTCTCTCATGACACATGTTTCATTGCAAGCTTTTTCTGGACATCTTGAAGTATCAATAAAATCTGTATTACCACACGCCGCTATAAGAGGACACTCATGACATGAACCTGGATTTGTACCAAGAACAAAAGTGTTCAGCCAATCATCGGGTAATGTCAGAAAGAAACTATCTGGTAAAATTGATACAAGATCAGGTTTATTGCAATAGTTCCAGTTACATCCAAAGACAATTAAATCTGGCTTATTTGACCATTCTAATGTTTTTACATCATATATGATTGATTCACGGACAGATAAATAATAAGGATTTTTAATATAATTTTTTGATGAATTCCGGTCAAGATGTTCTAATGTTATGTAAGTAGTATCTCCTAATTTTTCACGTTTAATAGTACAATGTGTACCTTCTTTAAATTCAACATTAGTACATTCACAAGTTGTTGTATCAACACATTGCTCACAACTATAACATAAAACACCAGCAGGTCGAAGATGAAGAAATTCATTCACATTTATATTTTTTCGAAGATTCTCTCGAATCTCTGAAAAAATTTCAGGCCGACTGCAGTCATCCGCACGACAGTATACATCGATTTCCCAAATCGCAAATTCTTCAGTATCCAAATAATAAATGCCGTCAATTTCAATTCTATGTGTATCAATATCAAATTCAATGTCAGATGCACTTTCGTAACAGAAAGATTGATAACAAAATTCAAGAGGATCTGAATCTGGATGTTCAAATAAATCACTCAATATACAGGTGCCATTACACGCTTTTTCAGGACATCTTGATATATCAAAAAAATCTGTATCACCACACGACGGTCCATCTGGACATTCATGACACATTGTTGGATCTGAACCAAGAATAAAATTATTCAGCCATTCATCAGGTAAAGAGAGTGAAAAGCTCGATGGTAAAAGTGGAACAAGGTCGGGTTTATTGCACAAATCCCAATTACACCCGTAAATAACTTTAAGTGTGTCAGTCTTCCATTCTGGTATTACATCATCATAACTGATTGATTCTCGAACAGAAATGTAATAAGGGTTTTTAACATAAAATTTCGTTAAATTTCTAGGAATATGTTCCAATGTAATGTCGATATTTTCTCCAATATGTTCACGAACAATAACACAATATGTATTGTTTCCTTCAATTGATTCTGTTTTATCACATGGACAAATTGTATTACTAGGACACGCGCAATCATAACATTCCAGACCATTTGTTGAAATTATACAAAAAACGAGTAAAACTAAAGAAAATACATGGAAAATCATTCTGTATAACGTTCTATTGAAACAAGTTAATCGATATGCGTGTATATCAACGAAATTGAATGATAGATATTTATTATACTCGTTTATAACTAAATACTGCCTAAACAATATATAAGGACGAGATTAGATGATAAAGCATATTGTTTAATGGTAGTCGTAAATATTTGTTGTTATCAAATTTACTTTTTTCATGACAGTTGCACAAATTTATTGATATCATATAAAATGCCACTGTAGCTCTTAATTATGTAGAGAGATCATTATATATCAATATAACGTACCACTAGCAGTCTCTTTTTAACAGCTTGAGTTTATCAAAGCCAAGTTCAGATATTTCGACATTTAGTAGAATGATGGTCATATGAGTCACTTCCAAAACTGTTGCAAAAGCACTACTTAGAGATTTTATTTAGCGTTTTAATTTGCCTTCTACACAATTTTATTTTGCAGTACCCTATCATTATCTTTGATCTCTTACTATATTTGATTCCATCATAACCAATTATTTTACCTATTAAACATATTTTTATGAAACATATGGTATATTATTAAATGTATTTTTTCCTTTGATAATAAAACCGTAATTTCAAATCATCTGAGAATTTTAAGACTTTAAATCGTAGTACGTATTTGATTTCAACTGAAGTAAATTATTATATAGTAAATACTACCTCGTTTATTCAAAAAAAAATGTTTCATTGAATATATACACAAATGAACAAGAAAAACACACTACACTTTTTATATTTTATTTCTAAATTCAATTGCAAAACAATCATGAAGCGATAATAATTGTTTTATTCATGATGTTTAATAATCACCACTACTAACTAACTTGCGACGGATATCGTGGCTGACTATTTCCACTATTTCCATAATTCACCTGCGATTGTGGTCGTTGTTGACCTTGAGAATAATAATTGTAACTCGCGCCAGTTTGTATTCTGCGGTTACCACCATCACTCATTACATCTGGATATAATGGACGATCACTACGTTCCGGCTCACGTTGTGGATTGTCATATAAATCGTATCCACGTGGATATTTTTGTTGAAATGTACCAAAATTCGTACGTACGCCTGCAACAGCGCCACCGCCAACGCCACCAGCGGCAACACCACCGCCGACGACACCACCGCCGACGACACCACCGCCGACGACACCACCAGCGGCTCCAACAACACCTGGAACAACACCACCAGCTACAAAGAAATGGTGATTATTTATGATAGATTCCTTATCCCACTTTAAATAATAAACAATTCAGTTTCTTCCATACTGTGTTACAAAACATAAGACTAACATCGTCTTTCTCATTCTCAGCACTTGGTTAATATAAACTAGACACAGTAGACTTTTTCACTATGTACTAATCAAGAACTTAATCATGGCCAAACTTACGTGGAGCTGGTTGAATAAGTGGGGCAACATTAACATTAGGCGGTGGTGGAGCACCGCTGCTAACCAATGACGCATATCCCCATGCAATCAATTCAGCAACAGAAAATATTTGACCATAAAAATTGACTAGTGGTGGTATTATGTACACTAAAAGGAAAAGAAACGTATAGAATGGCTTTAAACTTCTAATAAAACTTACTTCCTCCAGTTGGGGAATAGATAATTGTTTGACGTGTTAATGGATCGGCATAGATTGGTAGCCATGGTACATAACTGATAAATGGTCGACGATATGCTACATAAAATAGACGAAAAAATTGATTAAATGTACACCAGGTTAGACGACGTCAGGACTTACGAAAACTTGATCCTCTATAACGTCTTGCTGGAAATCGAACTTGTGTATACGTTTGACGTTGTTTACGATTGCGACGATGTCTCTCGGGTTCTCGTACATAAATATCAATATATCGATCGTCAGATTGAGCACGACCACGACTACGGTCAGTATAACGATCACGACTACGATCAGCATCACGATCACGACTACGATAAGTATCACGATCGCGATCATCATATCTTCCTTTTGATGGTGGATTATACGCTTTTCTTCTTGTAGTTGGTTTTTCACTTCTCTGAACACGTTGAACTCTATTATTTGCTGAGAAGAATTACTTTTTCTACTTACTGTTACTGTATACTTTGCATATTTCGTTGTTTCTGCAATGAAATATACAATTTCATTTTTGAAATACCATATAGATCTACTATTTACTTACTAGGTGCATATGTTGCTACTTTTGCAGTTGTTGTTAGTACTTCAGTACCTGATCAAAAAATATAGGGTTAGATAGACTAAGCCAAAAGTTTAGAGTATACATTTTCAAAGGCCTGTTTGGATATAATATCCCTTTTTACTTACTGTATACATCTACTGGATCTAAGAAGAAAATGTACAATTTCATTTTTGAATTTTTGATCTATTATTTACTTACAAGTTACAGTTGTTACTTTTCCAGTTGTTACTTTTCCATATGTTGTTTTTCCACCTGTTGTTTTTCCATATGTTGCTTTTCCACCTGTTGTTTTTCCATATGTTGTTTTTCTATATGTTGTTTTTCCATATGTTGTTTTTCCACCTGTTGTTTTTCCATATGTTGTTTTTCCATATGTTGTTTTTCCACCTTTTCCTTTTCCAGTTGTTACTTTTCCAGTAGCTGATTAAGAAATATAGAGTTAGTTAGACTAAGCCAAAAGGTTAGAGCGCACATTTTCAAAGGCTTGTTTGAATATAAAGTCCCCTTTTACTTACTTGAGTCATATATTGCCTCTAAGAAGAAAATATGGAATTATATTTTAAAATATCAGACTTATAAATGCTTCACGTACCTGTTGTTTCTGGTAGGGCCGTACTTGAGTAACTTGATTCTTCCGCCGCAGGAGCGGTCGTACTTGAGTAACTTGAATCTTCCGCCGCAGGAGCGGTCGTACTTGATTCTGAGAATAAAAGAATCATTTCGAATAAGCCAGATTTCAACAGCATATATTCCCTTTTTCTTACCCGGTGGAGCTGTTGACGACACATAAGTATCAGCGGCCCCTGTAGTATCGTCCTGACATTTAATTTCTTTGTTTAATAGCACCAATATTAGCACAAGCGAAGTGGTGACAAGACTAATACGCTAAAAAAATGAACACTTCGCATACTTTACTGAAAACATGAGTTCTCTCAACCCATCTTTGCAATGGTAAGTGCTTATTAAAGAAAAGTATTGTACATACCCGTTTCATGTTTATTGTTAACAGTCAGCAATAGTAAAAACCACTTGTGTATGATTAAAATAATATTTTTACCTCTGTTTATATAGTCATGAAAAAACGAAAACATACAGTAGAGATTACTTTATCAGTCTCAGAAAATATTCCATATCTGATATAACTAGTGCAGTTATAAATATTTAAGAAATTCTTATTTTAGAATAATGATATGAAAAAAACAAAAAATAAAATTCCATGATAAGAATTTTGAATATCGAAAATGAATAAACGTGCGCATAAACAATGTTCTTAGTATGTACACCATACACCCATGTTTTTTATTCAAAAAAAAAAGATAACCACATTGATAAACAAAACATAAGAATAGAATATTATCAAAATGTAAAATAAAACTTACAGAACCACATGATTATGACATTCTGGTACGAAAAGAAAGTTGACTCTATTTTCGGTAATACAATGTGATAAAGAGAAAAACGCATAGTGAGGTACTGTAACGTTTAGAATTGGTGTATATTGAATTTTGATGTTCAACAGATTTCAAATTTGTCGAATCATTAATTGAGAAACGAATTATACCTGAAATTGGGTCATCTATCGTATTCATTTCATGAATACGGCCGTTCTGAATAAAAATCTTCATAAAAGAGTCTCTTTGGGATTGAAATATGAAATACCTCAGATTATTATCAAAAGCTAAAAATAATCTTAAAAATATATGAACAAGATCAGTACAAATTAAAAGTTATATTATGCAACTTTGAATAAAATGTAATGAATATACTGGAAATAAAAATATTTTATTGTATATGTTAATGGTTTTTTGTTTTTGAGCACCGGTCTTCTTTTGAGTTAAATCGATAAAAGAAATGAAGATTTAATTCTGAAAAGTTTACCGGTAACTTTAGCGGCGTCACCAGCTGTTTCTTTAACTTGATCATAAGCATCAGAAGCACTATCTTTGATCTTTTGAGTATTTGTTTTACAATATATGTTTGTTAGACATAACAAAAATGTAAGTAAAACGGATAGTTTGTAAATAGATAAAAAGACCAAAACTAGTAAGACATGTAAATAGCGTAACAAAACAGAGACATCTTGCTTTTCCATCCTTCTAGGAAATCAGCGCTTTACCACATATTTAGTTCATCAGCATCATCTAAACATAAATGCTTGTTAACTACATAAGTAGAAGATTTACGAGATATAAAAATATAGCACAGTTTTTTTGTTCGTCAGTTCGTAAGGAAAGACAAGAAATTGGCAACATATTTTCGAATTTAAACTAAAAGTCCTCAATCCATCGAAAGTTTCGAATTTTAATAAAACTGGTCTTATTATTAGTTTTCTTTAAAATGGTTATTAGTTAGTTGCATCATGAGATCTGTCAGTGGAAGACGTTGGAATACCCCGTCTTACCGCTACTGTTATCGATGTAGAATGCTGGCAAGTTACAGTATCAAGAGTACAATATCTTACAGGCTTCTGAGATAGTCATTCATATGATTACTAGTTATCAATTACAACTCTGACCAGAAGGTTATTCTAACGCAGAGTTCTTTCCTCAATTGCATGAGGTTCCCATACATACTCACTAACTACGTATTCAGTTTCCCGACAAACCACGAATACTAATTGTAGAAACTGTATTGTACGTAACAATGTAGTGAGTATGTTATCGGACGAGATGATCTAAGACACATAGGCATGAGTGACTTGTCCACGTTTATCATATGATTTGACGAAACTGAGTCTGTCAATGAGCTCTAAAATTATCAAGAGTAAGGTTAAATGAGTTTCTGTTGTATAAATTACAGTATTAAATTTGTGAAATTCTCTTAAATAACATTGTGAACGTAGAAAAATATATTTCTGTTTTTAGACTATATGTCCTTTAATATTCTCTCTTAACAGATAACAACTATAACCAAACATTATGAAATATAAATGTCCACCAAAAAACAAAAGATACTTACGATATACCATATTGCGATCAACACTTTGAAGATTATTTATTTTGCAACCAGCATACAATATACAAAAGTATATACAATGCAGGCATAGGCAAGTCCGGGAGAGTTTCAAGCCGAGTCCGAGTCGTTGCAAGTTCAAACCGAGTCCGTGTCCGAGTCCTTAAAAGTTCAAGCCGAGTCTTAGTTCGAGTCCAATCAATTTGAGTAATCGTTTAGATTCTTTTTTGATGAGGGTCGTTTGTATTTTATTTTGCTGAGCCATGGATAGATATTTGATTTTTCGAAAATAAGGTTACGTTCCATGTCTGTCCCCCGAACAAAGTTTTCAATTTCATGTAAAACAGTAGGTGTTGCTATTTCGCTTTTCATTTTTCTCTGCTCATTTATGTTAAAAGTTGAATAGATCGGACTCGAAATACAAAAATCTCCAGTCCGAGTCCGAGTTCACCAAAAAATCTTCCAGTCCGGACTCGGACTCGCCCATTCCTGATACAATGTGAAGAAGAACATGTCTTTACCAGCAGTGGCTGAGTTCTTTCAAATTCAGAATATCTGAGTAGCACATAGCAGAATCAAAACAAACTCAGAATCGAAAACAATACACAGTGGTCATTTTTTGCTAGAGCAGGCGGACTTTAGCTTTATAAGTGAACTAAAATTTCATGAACCATTTTTTTATAGGTTTTTCATGATCCTCTTTCTAATGCCATGAGAGTTGGGTTTTGCAAAAGTTTTCTAAGGAGTTTTCCAGAAATCCGGTCTCTGGAAAACCCTTCAGAAAACTTTCTCAATATTTAAAAATGATGCCACTGGAAAGAGCATTGTCGAAAACCTATAAGAAACATGTTTCGAGTCGTTCAGGTTACTTTATCTTGAAATTCAAAT